CAATTTTTTGCCGGAGCTTCCTATCTTTATAGCTACTATTGTAAAGCATTTGATATACACTTACAAACTCTCCTTCTCTCCATGGGTGATGCCGCTGAGCACGACTATTGTTATAGTTTGCCTTTTCCAGGCGAAGAAATAAGCAGTGAAATTCTCGCACAAGTCGATCCATGAATCTATGCTTTTGTATGACACGGATTTGAACCAAATAATAGCTTATCTAGTTAGAATTAGTACAAAGTGTCTGCACTTCACAATGTCATCAACATGATAGTAATATAGATGATCATCTACATGCTGCACATGCTCATTCCTATCCTTTTTTCCATTGTAACTTAAGAGATTTGGAGGCATCTCCAATAATTTCGGTATCTGATCATAGGTCGTTCATCTTTTGTTCCTCCTTTTGATGGTGGAGGACCTCAGGCTAAGGGTAACGACCCCTTACCCTTTAGGACCGGGAGAAGGAGTTTCATGTTTATGGCTTCTTTGTTTCCTTGGAGATTTTAAAGCTGCTTCTTATTAAGAAGTTGCTGATTGGAGGATGGTAGTTTGATTTCTCCTAGCAACAGCCTCTTGTAGTGTTTTACTTTTCAAATTTGTGTGATACAAACTTTCTTTGATGCGAAGTAATCTTTCCTCTACTGCTTGCAAACTTTATTGTCGAACCATATTACAATGTTGTTCTGCAAATCATTAGCACCTTATACACTGAGGTTATCTTATTAAAACTAGAAACTGAGGAGTGCTTCCGGTCTCGGTATTTCTCTGGTGCTAAAGGCCTAAGCCATCGTTCTTTGGGTTGGATTAGCAGAGCATATCCTAGGAACATGAAAGGTTGAAAAACTCCGTAAAATATCCTAGGTTGGACGATATCTTTAGCCAATGGTGCATATTAAGAATAAACAAGGACTTAATCACTATTATTTGACAAGAAAGTGGTGGATCTTTGGAAGCTTAAGCGGCGATGACTCATTTGCTTTGTGCAACGGAGCGAATAGCTTTGGAATCTACCATTGTTGACTAATCAAGGTGGAAATTTGAGAAATGGTATTAATCTTCAATTAGATAGGATCAAGAATAGACACCTAAAGTTCATATTTATGATATCTGAATTTCTAGGTTCATAAATCGTCAATTCTATGAATCGAGAGATGAATGTTCAAATGTGAGAAATGCGGGAATCAGATATTGAATTGCACAAATGGCATCAGTATTCTACAGTGGAACTATAATTGATCAGTGAAGGATGGATGTGGATCACAATAATGGACTCGAACTTTCAAAACGGTAGAGGAAGGACTGACATGCTAGGTTAACACTCTAACGCCCAAGTCAGTATGAGAGTAAGATGAAGTAAATTAGATTTGAGTTCAAATTATCTAAGAAATTGTGCGTTCTCCCTTTTACCTAATAGATAACAAGAGATGCAGGGATTCGTCCAATTGACCTTGGATCGAGGTTGCCTAATTTCTCGTTTAAGACAGTGTAACTACTTCGCATGCAGTTTAGTGAGCCATGTTGCTATCTGGTCATAATTATATGACCTTTTGACCAACCAAAAATAAAATACTTTTTATTGAAATGGTGTTTAATTGGGATTTTATATACTTTAATTTGTTCAGGATGGTTGTGAGTTTTTGATTTTGAAATTTTGTTCAAAAAGACTTTTATTAAATATTTTATTTCATTTTAAAACAGTATTTTTACTAAAACTATATAAGTAAATATGTTTTAAAATTTTTCGTTTTTGTTTAAAGTTAAGACACCACTTGTTAATGATCAATGACCAATACTCCAACAATTATTATGACCATCGTCGGCCAGCACACCGACCACTACAAGCCACCATCGACCATTTTCGACCTCCGCTCTGACAATTAAATCTGACCATTATTCTGACCACCATATTGACCGCTTCTGACCATCATCAACCACTTTTGACCATAACATTTGATCACATATGATCATCACTTTATCTACCTATGATCTCTAATTTGACCACTATGGTCGCCACCAACCACCACATTGACCACATTCAACCACCATGTTGACCACTGTCATCAACCACTTTGTTCACCAACAACCACCACGTTGATCACTGTCAACCACCATGTTGACCACCATTAAAAACCATATTGATCAATGTCGATCAACAATCTGACTTCCAGTCACCACCATCGACTATCACTTAATTACCACTCTTACCACCGTAAATTACCAATGATAATCATTACAAACTACCACCACTCTAATGATCAATAATCATTATTCTTACAAGAATCCGTCTATAACCACGAATTTTAACCAATTATTGAAATTATTACTAAAAAAACCAATATATATTTGTGTATTTTAATTATGTTGAAAATCTTATGGTATAAATTAATTGGATTAAAATACATGTTTATTGTAAATATTAATTTTTATGTTTATCTTTGAAAATGATTTTGTTATTTAAAATTTCATAACTAAAAATTGAAACCCGCTTTGATTTTTGAAAATTTTAAAACTAAAAACAAAAACTAGTTTGAGTTTTAAAAATTTAAAAACAAAAAATAGAAAATTACCCCGAACTAAACCTTAGTTTCAAATAAAATTTTAATAAAATATAAAATAAAATAAAATAAGAGTTTGTTTTGCATAGTTATGTTTTATTTTAATAATAAAACATTAGTACCAATGATCGCTATGACTATCATCTACTATTTCAACCACTATTATAACTACTATTGATCACTACTTCAATCACCATTAACCATTATTCTAATTTCCGTCAATCATCGTCTTAACCATTACCAACCATCACTATAGTCACCTTTGGTCATCAATTTATCCATATAAGATCTATAACTTGAATTCTACGAACTACTAATATAATCACCCTTAACTACTACCATAACTATCACCGACCAATCCTATAACCACCATTAATCACTAATTCATTCATTTCATATCACCAACTTAACGACCACCGACTACCATAATGACCATCATCAACCACCACTTAGAACATTGTCAAACACCATTCCAACCATCGTCGATCACTATTCTATCAATCTTTGATCACCAATCTATCTTTAGTCTATCGGTGGTCACCACCATCCGCCAGTAACTACCACTGGCCACCACCAACTATTACTTTGGCCATTGGTAACTATCATTCTAACTACAACTGATCACCATTTTGACCATTATCGTTGTCCACCACTTATTACTATCATCTTAAGTGTCATTGATGACTAGCATCTACATCTACCTTCACAATCACCAACTATCGCTCTCTCCACCACGATCACCACTCTAACAAGCGCCTATGGACAACAATAACTTTTAACTACTATTTTTAATATTACTATTAAAAAAATAAATTATTCATTCTAATATTTTAATTCTTTTACAATGATATGTTTTGTTTGAATTAAGATTTATTTATGATACATATTTATTTATTTAACTAGAAATTAATTTTAATTTTTAAATATTTCATAACTCAAAATTAATATTGATATTGCTTTTTAAAATTTGTAAAATTCAAAACAAAAACTCATTTTAAATTTTAATTATTTTAAAATACTACTCGGAACTTAAATCTAGTTATTTCATAATTGACTATTATGTGGTTTACCTTTGAGCTTTTATACCAAAACAACTTTTTCCATTTGAACCAAGTTCTTATTCTGAAAATAAGGTTTTAAAATAAAATTAGTTTCATATGTCTTTATTATGAAGGCAACACTGTTAGACTATTTATGCTACATCACATATTAACCTCTTGATCTGCCACAAGTCATTTTCACTTTCTTTTTTCATACACTCTGAACTCATGTTGGTATGGTAAAATTGCCCTATATAGTAAATTCTTTTTATGATGTGGGGCAAATATATTTTTAGGTGAATTTGATTTATTGTAACGAATTATTACGAATATAAATAGTATTTTCTAATTCAATCTTTTATTTGGAGCATTTACTGTTGATCTTTATAGACACACAATAATAACATGTTTGATGTTGAGCTCCTCGCATTCTTCAATTTAATGAAATCTCTTTCTTAAATGATAAAATTATAAAAAGTTTCCACAGTTAAAATTATCTTAATTTTTTTTAGATGCAGTCATGTTATATGTAGATTAATCACAGTTTAAATATGACGAATTGAATAGATTATATATTTTATTACAGTTTAATTCTGACAAATATTTTATGAGATCATTTTTAAATTCTACGTAATAGTGTGTATTATTTACCCTTAAAAACGACCATAGCCATAATAAAGAGTAGCATGTTCGAGAATATTTTTTTATCTATAGTTGTTTTCCCGACTCATTGAACTAGTTTCTACCATTGCGCTTTCGTATTTGAAACTAAAAAGAAATTGTAAAAGGAAGAAAAAAACATGACAATCAAAGCTCAAGGTTCAAAATAGAAAGCAGTTATTAACCTTTCTACCTTTCTCTTCATCAAGTGTGGCAATCACAAGATGTATCCACCGTATATTCGTTTATTCGTCCTTGCATGCTAACTATATATGTGAATCAAGGTAAAAAAACTTTTGCATCTATTCAAGAAAACAAAGATTCTTTGCCTAAAACAAAGGAAAAGCTACAAAACACAATGAAGTCGAAAAAACATAGATAGTGACTAGAGAGTAAAGCATGGAAAGCGAAAGCGAAGGTGAATTTCAAACATTAAATTATATTACATGAACTTGAATCGTCCACGACTCCAGCATAACGTTGGAGACGCAGAATTTCCAAGTTTGTGTTACATATATGAATCACAAAACGAAATACATTGAAACGTCTTAAAAAGAAAAGAATGAAAAAGCCTCGTCATCCTTAAAAAACCACATTAAAAAACTTGGGTCTTAGGATCGGGCTCTGTTTCTGTGTGCTATCATGTGTGTATTGTTTTTTTACAAGATATTGTTTTTTGTTTGTATACAAGAAAGAATTCCTGAGACTAAAAAGAAGCAAGATTGTGTGTTTGTTAAGTTCTTTAGAACTGTGAAATGCAGCGTCTATGACAAGCTGTATTGCGCTGTTTCTTCTGTTTAGTCTCATGTTTCCAAACGTTTCCAATATCTTGTGCAATTTTAACAGCATCAGATGAAGCACCAGAAAGCCCTCTCTTTGTGAACCCTACAGCATATAGTCCTGAATTTCCTTTCCAACCATGTGGAAATGGCATCTTTGGGTATCCGTTTTTCGAGAAAAATTCACCTTCCTGTTCATAAGATAACCATAACTAAATTAGTCCTTTGAACAACAACAAAATTCTAATTATAATCATTGAGAAAAAAGGTGTTTGAATTGACGATATTTCTTCTGTGTAATATGTTAAAATCTTAGTCGGTTGGATTAATCTATTTTTTTAAAAATAGATTAATCCAGCAAGTAAGATTTAACTGGTGTGAATATAGAAAAAATAAATAAGATATATTCTAAGTCTAAGTCAAGTATGATAATGTCATTTTTAACAGATCTAAAACAAGTTTTCACCTGAAGCCAAGAAGGGACATTACTCCTATATCCAGTAGCAAGAACAACTGCATCAACATCAATCTTTTCACCATTAACAAGCTCGACTACACCGTTTTTGTTAAACTTCTTGATTCCAGGGACAACTTTTATATCTCCGGATCTAATTTTCTCCAAGGCACCAATATTCAAAACAGGTGTTTTTCCTTCTGTGTTCTTCAGCTCCAAAGGTCCCATTGAAGGCCTTTTTATACCAAACTTTTCCATGTCACCCAAAATGAACCATGTCAAAATTAGAAGAAGTTTGTCAACAATCCAAAGTGGTAGCCACTTTAACATCATAACGGCTAATTCGAATGTTGATATTCCAAATATTTCTCTCGGTAACACATGAACCTGTGAATCAAAAAACAGAGCAAACCAGTTAGATTTTTTTTCTATACCCAAGATACTGACACAGACACCAGACACAAGAACTTACCGAGCTACGAACAACCATGGAAGGTAAAGCATGGTGGTTGCTAAGATCAAGTGAGAGTTCCATTCCTGAATTTCCACAACCAACCACAAGAACTTTCTTTCCTTTGAAAATTTCACCTGACTTATAATCACAAGCATGAACAACTTCACCTTTGAATTCAGAAAGTCCTTCAATATCAGGAGTAACACACTCAGCATTTTCGCCGGTAGCAACAACAAGCCATCTACAAATATACTCAACTTCATTGGTTTTCACCCTCCATAATCCACTTGTTTCATCATATTTAGCAGATTGAACACATTCATTGAATTGCGGCTTGATTTCGAATTTGTTGGCATATGTTTCAAGGTAGTCTATGAACTGTTTCTTTGAAGGGTATTCAGGGAAATCATCAGGGAATGGAAGGTTAGGTAGTTGACAGAATTGTTTAGGGAGGTGAAGTTTCAATCTGTCATAGGTTCTTCTTTGCCATAGTGATGCTATACAATCAGCTCTTTCGAGAACAATGAAGGGAACTCCTTGTTCTCTAAGACATGCCGCCGTTGCTAGGCCAGATGGACCTGCGCCAATGATCACAGGTCCATTGACCCAAATGCAACGGCGTGAGATAAAATCTTGGTGATCAGCTAGACGAAACAAATTCTCCATTTTGTTGAGTTGGGTTTGTTAAAGAAGTGAAAAAGATTATTTCTTTGATGAGATAGTTTGTTTTCAAAGTGGGTTTTTGAAGTGTTAAGAGATGAAACTTGAAAGAGAGAAAGTGTTTGGTTTTCTTTTTCTTTTGGTTTGTGATTGAGAATGTGAGTGATGATTGAATGAAGAAAGAGGAGGAGTTTGAAGGGCTTAAATAGAGGAGAAATGCATGTGATGAGGTGGGGGGAGTTATTTCTCTTTCATTAATTATTAAATTGTGTGTTATTGAAGTGTATAGTTTATGTATGGTTTAATAAACTTCTTATCATTGAATTTTTATTAATTTTTTTTTTGTGGGAATGAGCTAAGTGTCAAATTGACTATGAAGTATGATTAGTACATTGTCAAATCATATAATCATGTGTTATTGAGAATCCTTAATATTGATTTTAATGTTATATGTTTTTTGTATGTGAATATTTTACATGATTATATTCTATGCTGATATAATATTAGATTCTAGTGGTTTAAATAATGTGGGAGGGATTACTATGGGATTACTAGCATTTTATTTTATATAGAATTATTGTTTATTTGGAAAGGTGTCTTTAATCATCATCACATTCACACTTACAATGGGGTATTGGGTTGCTTTATTTCTCTCTTTCTATAAATAAAAAAATTGTCATAAAAATTGAAAGATATCTGAGTTATCGTCTAATAATCTTTAATTTTAGTTCTATTTTATTTGAATTAAATGCAGTTTTGGTCATTTACATTAAATTTTGGTCATTTACATTAAATTTTTTAACTTAGTAGTTCCTCTTTTAAAAAACTCAAATATTTGATCCGCTATTTTGAAAAGTTTTAGAATTTTTTTGTCCCCTTTTAGATTTGACTACGTGGCAGTCTTATTTATAATGTGGCAGAGCTTTATTGACCAATTTTAAAAATTATATTGCCTCATCATTTAAAATCAATTTTAATTAATTAATATAATTGAAAATTATTTAAGATGATTCTTTTATTTATAAAATAAAATCTGAAACTCAAACTAATTCTTTTAGAACAATTCTTATCTTTATTTGACCTTAACCATGACAGTTTAGAACAATTTTTTCACATCAGACCTTTATTTACCCTTAATTACAGAATATATGGTTAAAAATCTACATCCAATGCAATACAATTGTTTTGTACATCTCTTGTCTAATTTTGTCCAAGTAACAATCCACGTGAACAACCACCGCAGACGAACAATTTTTTTTGTTGTTTCAATTTAAACATCATATATGTGGGGGTTTAATTTCATACAATTTGGGAAGGGGGGGATTAATGGAGATTTGGATCTAAGAGTGGTGTGATGAAGAATTTGGAAACTTGGACAATTAGGGTTTTCTGGGTGTAAAGGGAAAGAACGCGATTGAAAAGGGGGAAGAATGAGTTTGAGATTTTATTTTATAAATAAAAGAATTATTTTAAATGATTTTCAATTATATTAATTAATTAAAAGTGGATTTAAATGATGTGACAATACAATTTTTAAAATTGGTCAACACAGCCTCTGCCCTTTAGCCAAATCTTAGAGGAGGCCAAAAAAATCTCAAAAATATTCAAAGTAGGGGACCAAAATATGGCATTGTTAAGTAAATAGTTGAGAAGGTTTATCAAGGAAGGGAAAGCAATTGGGGTAGGAATATTGGAAGAGAGACATGGGAACCTTGCTAGGAGGTTGTTGTTTAAAGATGGGACTAGGTATAAATCTCAAGAATCATTATGGTGGAGGTATTTTATGCTGATTGGGGACTCAATTGAAGCTGCAAATTTTTTAACCTACTAACTTATAGGCTAGGTGACGGAGTTAACATTCTATTTTGGTCTTCAAGGTGGATTGGTCAGAGGTCTCTACTGATGTAATTCCCATGTTTGTATCAAGCCTCTAATAACAAAGCTAAAAGTGTGAGGGATATGGGTGTTTGAAAGCCTCTAATTCCCATGTTTTTTGCACAAAGTTTAATTGCTTTGATGTAATGTTATGGCCTTATGGGTATCTAAATAACTTTTCTATTAAAACCTGCTATGAAAAGTTGCTGCAGAATGTTGGAGAGATGGGTATGGATCAGTTGGTCAAAAAAGCATTGAATCCGATTCAGGAAGCTAGGGTCCCATCTAAAGTTAAGATATTCGGGTGGAGATTAGTTCAGGATAGGTTATCAATAAGGAATCAACTCGCTAGAAGAGGGATTATTCATAATCAACATGACAGGGTTTGTGTGTTTTGGTTTGGGCAGGATGAAGATATATATCATGTTATGACTTCAAGACCTAGGATGAAGCTGGGTTGGCAGAAAATTCAAGTCTAGCTTGGAGTGATTTTTCTAGATGAAGACATGTGTTGCAATCATTTAGTAAAATAATAGAGAGGTTAAAAGGAAGGTGTTCCAAGAAGAGGGAGTGTGTCATTTGGCATGATGTTAGTTGGTGCATTTGGAAGTCCAAAAATGATATCATTTCCCATGATGAAATTGGGGACCCGAATGTAATTGTGCATAGAGCCAAGATGTTACTAGATGGTGGCTGGCGATCAGGTCCAAAGATATAATCAAATGTAATTACTCTGAATGGTGTAAATGTCCATTATATTTTCTTTAATTCTATATTGTGTTTGGGTAGGTTTCTCTAGCATTGTATTTGGGTTATAGTACCTTTATTACTCTTTGTTGAATGTTAAGTTACTTATAAAAAAAAAGGAAAACATCTTGACATATATAATTTACCAGCGTGAATAGAATTTCATTTTTCCCGTGGAATAAATGAGTTCATTTCTTGGTGAAATTTTATGTTTTCTCTATCCACATATGCATTACTTTCTTAGAACACGCCTTTGTACAAATAGTTGCTCTAATTAGTTACCTATAAACATGAAACACAAATAAAATGTTAAATCTTACTTTGATAGAGTCAAATGCTCCCACGAATTTCATGGAGTTATGTAGACTTAAAAAATATTCAACTTCTTCATATTCCCTAATTTTCAGTCACTTATCCTTCAATTGGGTTTCCATAAAATTGTTTTTTGTTGTCACTTTTCAGCTTTCCCTATTTTTTGTTGTCATTTTGCTAAAAGTTGTAAATAAAATTTTAATTAAAGAAAAATATTGATCTAGAGTGGATTTGAAAACAAAGGCATAAGTAGTTGATAAGTGGTGAAGAAGAGTGATAACTTTGTCGAAAAGAGGTGTAATTGAAAAAACTTAAATGCTCAAATTAATTAAAGGTTTAAGGGATTCTAAAAGTTTAACTTAATGGAAAATACATATTTTTACCAAAAAGATGTTCTATTATAAAGTTTACTCGAATACGACTCTTACAAATTTATGCAGTTACGATCATATGTGATGTATATCGCAGAGCATTGTAAAATTTATATCATAGGGTTGAGATTTAGTCATTATTGTAGTATTTTGGATCAAACCCTAGTCTCATCATGGAAAGCTTCATGGTTCGACTGGGATGTGTATGTTATAGTCGAAGACAGTTCAAGCATGTAGTGGTCGAAGTTAGTTCGAGCATGCAAATGACTTATGTTAGTTATATACTTTGTTATGTAATAGTTATGTATGTCATATATGAGTGTTACCATCATAAATGACATACATATACTAGGAGTTTATATATTGGTTGTACTCTAGTGTGTTACATTAGTGGTTAAGTTATTATTCACTTGTAATCTAAAAACCCAAATTTTAATGAATAGTAAAAACTATTATAACCAACTATATATTCTTCTCTCTCCACGTAACTGAATCATTTGTGTTTGTTCAAGAAAACTTATCTTTCTCACGTAATTGCTTTATTCTTGGTGCAACAATTATCACAACAAACTGGTGCAGTGAGCGTGGATCAAGATGTCGTCAACAAAGTTTGAGATTGAGAAATTTATCAAAGTTAATGATTTCTGAATATGGGGCTTGAAGATGTGAGCTCTTCTTGTTCAAAAGGGTTTTCTAGAGGCGTTGAAGGGAGCTGAAGCCATGGATATTTCCTTAATAGAGAAAGAGAATAAAATGATGGTAGAGAAAGCCTATAATGCAATCATCTTGAGCCCTGGTGATAAGTTTCTCCAGTAAGTCTTGAAGGAGAAAATTGTCGCAAGTGTGTGGTTGAAACTTGAAGGTTTGTACATGACTAAATATTTCGTAAATCTTATAGAAGTCTTGATGAAGCAGTTAGATATGTTCAACAAAATAATTCTTAATCATGTTGGTATATCTCTCCCCTCCCAAAAAGTAACCATCAGCTCGATATAACCCTATAGGTGAGTTGCCGTGTTTTTTGAGGATTGGATGTTGAATCCCTTATATGATGATAACCTCTCTCTCTCTCTCTCTATCTATCTATCTATCTATCTATCTATCTATATATATATATATATATATATATATATATATATATATATATATATATATATATATATATATATATATATATATATATATATATATATATATATATATATATATATATATATATATATATATATATATATATATATATATATATATATATATATATATATATATATATATATATATATATATATATATATATATATATATATATATATATATATATATATATATATATATATATATATATCCCAAGTATCTTAAAGCTTTGCATACATGATGTGGCACAAACTTCCATCGTCAATGAGGATTCTCGACACATCGATGTTTGTCATAGTTGTTGTTATCATTAGAGGAAAATTTTTATTCAGGTTACCACCCACCTTTTTGCTATTGTAAAACCCTAGTGTCATACCCTAATTTTTGACCCTAAGATTCTATTTTGCATCATCTGCATAACATGCATTTCATCTTGCATAGTGTCTGAAATGTCAGTCAGAATAAATTTGTTGGATTTACAAACAAACCGATCTAAATTTATTTCAAAATCTAACCAAATGTTGTATTTTTCCAATATGTTTATTTCGCGCTGATCATTTTGGTGTG